GTTAAAAAAAAACTATCCAAGAGAACTGAGATTGCGCATCCTACTGGAATAATTTCCTTCCGATGAACGAAATGAACATCAAAATCGCCAAGCTGTCGGCTGCACGGAGAGACAGAACCAAACTACGGTTCAAAATTGACTAAGTAGCAAAGTCAGTTGCTTCACAAAAAAAAAAAATTAAAAATCTGGCAAATATTAAAAAAAAAAAACAAACAAATAACGATGAAACGTGGAACAACCATTGTAATCAATCCAGAGGAGAGCAGGCGAACCGAAGTCCTGTAAGCACTTTTTACTGAGCAAAATGCTCAACTAACAACAATACAGAGAACAATAAAAAACAACATAAGATCATCCAAAAAAAAAAAACAATTCGATTGTAATGAAAATCACAACAATGCAAAATTTTGCAACATATAAACTGCTCAAATACTGCTTACTTTAGATCTTAAAAGTCAAGTGGACATTCGGCTGGATGAACACAAAACAGCATGATTCATCGATGGAGGAAGAGGAAAAAAAATCAAATTTCTTGGTTCCATGCAAGACATATTTTACATTTTCGTATAACATGCGAAAATGACAAGATACAAACTTGATCCTCAAACTTGCGCCGCATACAAGTAATTCTGACAGGTATACGGAAGACTGGCGCCCAGCAACTGGCATAACTGCCCGGGCCTGGCCCTTCGTACCTATCCCCTTCGTTTGAAAGTACCCCGGTACAGGACCATCCCACATCGAACATCTTGTGTTTTTTGATACCACAGCTTACCGGAGCAAAAAATTCATCGAACAATTGTTATGGAAGCCAAAATAGAAGGATTTAAATACACCCAGATTGCTCCGATCTCCAATCTTTTAGTCTCCTCTCCTGTCAGAGTTCCCGAACGAGGAAAGGTCACCAAATTTACCAGTAATTAAAGTATAGCAGACATAAATTGAAAACAATTCGCCACTGATTTACCACTTTCTCAATCATTAGTCCACTTTATGCATAAAATTTAGAAACGTCTTATCTCGCTCTTGCCTTCTTTTCTCACACTTTTCCTGCTTTCTGTATTCAATTGCGCATTCGAGACTTCGTCTTCCTGGGTCAACCTGGATGCTACAGTCGGCTTAACATCACTCAGACGAAATTCTTATCCCAACCGGTACGTTTTGTTATCTAGCGCTTGTAAGGATAGGTATGCCAATTTTTTTATGTGAATGCGTCAGTAAGATTAATCAGTCACTGGAATTTCAGAGCTTCCCCTTCCCCTCTGAATCCGACAAATTTTCGCCCCCTCCCCCTTCCCTGAATATGATAAATTTTTTCTGTAAATGTGCTGGGAACAATCATCTGAAAATTTCAGCCTCCCAGCTTTCCTAGTTCTCAAATTAGAGATTTTCGCGCCAGCAACTCTTACGGGTTCGTACGCGGGAACACGTGGGGAGCTGGTCATAACCACATGGAAAGTGCTTGAACCCTCTTCGAAGTTTATGCTCAAAATTCATAAGGATCGATATGGAGGTGCTACACGGATAAGGCACGAATTGAGCTATGGGGAATGGCGAAACAGAAGAGCTCAGAAGAAATGAATCAGATTGACAGCCATCACTAGCCTGGATATTCCAGCTAATATCTAACAAAACTGAAGCTATTTAAAGCATCGAAATAAGTAATTAGCTGAAAGGACCACTCAGATCGAGTATTCCGAGACAGCGAAGAAAAGACAAATCTCTTCAGCAGCCATACGCGGAGCCAGGGCGGTCACCGAAGGCGGGGGGGGGGTGATTTTTTAACTCCTCCTCCTCTTCTCCCTTCGTCACTACAACCTCCGCCCCTTTCCTCCGGGCAG